TTTTCTACATCTTTTATATGTTTAAATATAGGAGAACAGTTTATAAATAAAACAACAGTATTGTTCAATAGAATATTTTTTCATCTTTCTTTTTCTTTTCTGTTACTTGAGCGAGCTCTGTTTCTTGGCGTTGATGAACAAAAATAACAATTTCACGTCGAGAAATCTTTTCATACGACCAGGTTCGACTTCTTGCTGGTTATGACCTCTAAAAAACAAGTGAACATAAAAAAACAGTCTATTGCTTAAATGTAATACAAAAAAGAAAAGAAAACATGATTTGAGCACATTATACTTACCGAATATTAATTCAAAAAGGGCTGATCATTTTAATCTTTTCATGTCTAATCTTTTCTTTTTGAATCCAATAGGTTAGATTGGGACAGGAATCAAATGGTAAACATTGTAAAAATGTACAAAAATGAGTGTGCTAAATAAATTTACAACCATCAAAATGACTGTACAATGATATATTTTGTTATGTAGTGCTTAAATCAAGCTAAACATTTGCACCTCTCAGATTTGCTATAAAAGCCAAGTTATTGAAAAATGATATTAGTATTTTTCTGTCTTATTTAACATGGCTTTTAAATTAAATTTCGCTGAAATTAAGTGTTACATACTTATAACAATTTAAAAATCCGTTATTGATTAAAGACTACCAAAACAAAAAGATAATTCAGATAATACACCTTGAGAATTGTTATTCATTTAAACTGGATAAAAGTATTAGTCAAAGCTCTATTTTTGCCTGAAACATAATGATGCTTTACTTAATAATATAAAACCATAAAAACTGGCGATATCATTAGCAACGCAGATGAAATACACATAAACGATTATGAAGACTAGAAAGCTGCAATGATGTTTTAGATATAACCCGGTGGGAAATCGGCTAGCAAATAGCTAGCTGTAATCGTTTCGATAAAGACAGCGATTTGGCCACGAGGATCGGCAGCTTTTTTAAGTTAGCAAAAAGCTATCGGTATTTCTAAAGACAAAGACAGCAATTTGGCTACAAAGACAGCTAGCTTAATAAGCTAAAGACCCACTGGCTTTTGTAGCTAGCGTCATATCGTAATTAAATCGCTGTCTAAAAAAGTTTAATATGCACCTATCAACCTGCTATAGATTTGTAGATATTTTGTAGCTAGCTAAAAGCTACGATATGTAGCTAGCGACACATTGCTACAAAATCGCAAAGTTTTCAAGTTTAATTATTCTCATAATTATAATAGACTCAACACTAAAAATCGAATTTTTAAAGATGTTAAAGGCATTAGGAAAAAAAAACAATAAGAAAAAAAAATATCGCTACAAAATCGCTATAAAGCTAGTTAATCGCTAGCTAGCTAATATACCACTGGGAAGACAGTGTATCTGTCTAGAATCATTTTCACTTAATTTTTTGTTTTCAATCTGTTGTCATTATGTGTATTTTTATAATTTTTTTGTTAATGACAGACAACAGTTAACAAGAAAATAACAAGTTTAACATAAAAGTTAAAGAGCTAATCTTTTGTCTTAACAATTTCATCATTCAACTTAATAAAAACAACAAAATTATTCAGATCATTCAAAAATATATTAAAAAAAGTTGCAAGCCTACTGAATGCCTTTTCTTTTCCATCATTCGTTTCACTGGCACCTGAACAAGTAAATATAGACAGAAATTGTTTACAGGTTTTATTTTTCGTCTGGAAATAAATAATTTAATTTAACATGTATTAAACAACGTTCATATATATATATATATATATATATATATATATATATATATATATATATATATATATATATATATATATATATATATATATATATATATGTCGATGTAGCAGCACTCCTTTGCGAGTCAGGCTGTTTGTCTGTCGATGTAGCAGCACTTCCTTGCGAGTCAGGCTATTTGTCAGTCGATATAGCAGCACTTTGTAGCGAGTCAGGCTATAAGATAGTCGATGTAGCAACACTCCCTTATAGCAGCAGGCTATAAGATAGTCGATGTAGCAACACTTACGCATGTTTTAAATTTGTTTTTTAATTTAAAAAAAAAAAAAAACAACTCTAATTAAAAAAAATTTTCTATTCATTATTATTGCGGGTTTTTTTAAAAACAATAAAATTTAATGTACTTCCGCGTTAATTTAATTCCTTTCACACTTCGACGACAGTAAAAAGCAACTTAAGGGACAAGGTAAAAAAGTTGTAGTCGAAAGAGACTTTTTTTACCATAAAAGTCTCTTTCGACTACACTCTAATGATATAAGTAAATACTATAATATATATATGCATATGTATTATGTATATTTTGCATAATATATTACTTTATTATATAAATTATAAAATAAACCCGCTTACAAAAAAAAGTTAATTTTTAATTAAATTTTCTATGCAAAAACGTTTCGCATTAAAAAAAGTTTTATAAAAGTATTTTATAAACAAAAAACGGGCTAATCAGAACGTAACAAAAATATCGTTATTACGATACTGTGGTTTAAACCCATTTTTGATAGGTTCTATTGGCAATAAGTATTTTTAATTTTCTTAAGCAAATAATGATTTCTTTATTATCAACCGATTAACGTCTTTTTGACCACTTTTTTTAAGACAGTTTTTTTACTACGTCTTTTTTTTGGCTGATTATAAAAAGACATAATAAATCACAAAAAAGACGCCTTTTATTTGTCTAAAGATATCTTTTCATCCAACGCCTGTTATTTCTTTAGTTACACTCCATGTTTTTCTTGCATTTTCAAATTATTATTAAGCAATAAGGAATAGCAGTTTTTTTGGATTGCTTTTTTAATTTTTTGAAGGAATTTCAAATTTTTTGTATTTTATTTCATTTTTGTAGTTCTTTTTTTTTTTTTAATTTTGTTTCTTTTTTGATTGACTTAATGAGTCCTTTCGTTATCCACGGACTAAGCAAATTTTTAGAATTAATAATTTTTTCAACTTTTTAAAAGGCTTTTTTGTATTGCTTAATAAACACGCGAATAAAAAAATCATAGCCATTATTTACATCATTGCAATCAGCTAATAGTTCCCAGTTTATTTCTTGTAAAAGGTCGCGAAAAGTGACGATTGATTCAATGTTTATTTTGCTTACATAAATAGTTTTTGTTTCTATTTTTTTCTTAGGGGTTGTCAAAATTGAGATTAAAAAAACTGAAAAATGATCAATGATATCTGTTTTAATAATACCACTTTATTTTACATCAATTTTAAATTTTCAAAGTTTTTATTTATGCTTCTGATGTTTATATGCAATAATGAAAAATAAGACGATGAAGAATTAAAAACATGTTTAACATGGTCAACATTGTAATAAGCCGTTTCTACTAAAATTTCGTCAAAAAAGTTATTGTTTTTATCATCGCCATTAATTCGGTTAAGTGTATTTTTCCTTCCTGGTATGTCAAAAACAATATTAATCATGCCTTCCGCCAATTTAGCAATAATAACTAAGATTAATATCTAAAACACAAAATATAAAAACATATAAGCTTTAGGCATTTTTATGTGATTTTTTAAAATCTTTAACTACTATTTTATCACAAATAACGACTGAATACTTACCATTTGTCCTGTGAGTTCGCATTTCTTCAAAAAGAGTTTTCTGTATGTTTAGGATATTCAAAGAATAGTGTTCGTATATAAATATTCCTGTTCCTTTTAGTTTTTTCGAGTTTTTTAATATGCTAACTTTATCTTTGCAGTTCAGAAGTTTTACCACGATTGATCTAGGTTTACTTTGCCTAGTTTTCCGGTTCTATGCGCCCTTTTAATCACCACGCCATTTACATTTAGTTTTTTTTCAAAGATACTTAAAACCTTTTCTTCAGATTCATTCCAACTTTCAGATTCGCTCTCCGTTATTCCTTCAAGGCGCAAATTATTTCTTCTCAGTCGATCTACAAGTTGTCGCAGTTTATTTTTTTCTTCTGCACTAAATTCTACTTTTAAAACAATTTTTTTTTTCAATTTTATTGATTTTCTCCTCTTGGATATCTTGTGTAAAAGTGATACTGTGTTCAATATCTTTTTAAGTGTGTTAAATTTTTGAGACTCTGTCATTTGTTTTTACCATTTCAGATTTTCTTAAATTATTTTCAATTTGCAAAGTTTTGCACGTTTCTTTTATTTCTGCTATTTCTTTCAGCAGTCCATCAATTCTTTCATTTGTAATTTTTAAATTACCACTAACAAGTTTGAGAATGTCTTTGCTGTTTCTTAAACATATCAGAGAATATTTCACGAACTAATTTCACAGATATTTCTGAAGCTTCTGTATTTGATTGACTTTCTTTTTTATCACTATTTTTATTTTTAACCATTTTATTAACAAGTTTAATACCAATGTTTAAAGTTAAATACCAATAATAAACCAAAAATTTTAAATATTAACTTTTTCATTATTTTTAAATAAATTTTTCAAAAATTAAGTTTTTCATTATTAACATCTTTACTATTAACAACGTTATTATAAACATCTACTAAATGTTTAGTTATATTTCTGGAATATTTACATATTCCTGAAAAGAATTTTAAAGTTTTTCTTGAGAATTCCTGGAAGTATCTTGGTAAATCAGCTATTGGCTGGCAACAATGGTATTACAATTCATCAGTTTTTTTTTATAAATATAAAGCCATATGTGTTTTTTAGTAGTTAAAATCATTAGTTTTTTTTATGTAATAGTACAGACTTCCTTATATATGAAATAATTGTTGTTTTTTTTCTTATAAATAGTCTACAAACGAAATTAAATTTACTTGATAAGAAATCTGTTAGCAAATTTTTTAAAATAATTCATTGAAAAAGTGATATATCTTTGAAACTATAGTTCTTTATGCTAAAGTTGTTTTCCTAGTTGATTTTTGGTAGCATATAAGATTATAACTAAAAATATTTAAAAGAAAATCAAAATTTGAATGTGGTGTTTTGAAATTTTGGGCTCCAAAGTTGAGTCATATAAACTAGTTGTTTTATTATATTTTAGGCAAATATTGTTCATATTTCAACATTTTAAGTACTTTATTAGAATTCTGCATCAAAAAAGCATTATAAAAGTTTATTATTTCTATTTTATAGTTTAAGTACAAGAACATTGATTTTTTTGTTTGTTTCAAAGATAAATTATGTAAACAAACAAAAAAATCAATGACGTCATGTACTAAAATTCATATCACTTGAATAAATTATCAAGTCTGTAGATTATAGCGTATGAGGCTTTTTAGCCTATGACAAAACGGACAGAGCTAGCTTTGACTGAAAAAAAATAAAAATTTGTTCTTGGTATGCATTTACTTTTTTGTTTTAATGAAAAAATTTAGTGCAAATGTTTTTTTTTCAACATTCTTCTTAATATAAGCACAACATGTCTAGCAGGTTCGGGATCCTTTTAACATAACATAGAATTTTAGCAGTAAAAAAAATTGTAAAAGGAAGCATTAGAAATTTTTTTAAAAACTTAATTAAATTTATTGAAATAATTTGAAATTTATTTATAAATAATAGCAAATTAAGTTAATAAAATTTAAATATAAATTCAAAATAATTTTCTTTTAAAAAACAGAAAATAGAAAAAAGTTTATTTACCTAACTTTTTTTTATAATAAAAAAAAATATTTCACAAATATTTTGTACAACAATTAATTACTGCTTAATGTTATGCTTTCCAAATAAATTTTAATAGTCGGATTAAATAATAATCTAATAAAAGAAAGTTTTGCCGAAACATATACGGCTTAATTCGTAGGTAAAATCATAGTCATAAGAAATAGATAGTCTGGTCACTCGGGTCGTATTATGTGATTTTTCTAATATTTGTTAAAAACACTTGAAAACTGTCGAACGGCCGGGAACAGAGTGCACAAAATATGGAAACGGACATAGATCAATGGTTAATTTGATATTGAAACATTATTTTTTTCTTTGGAAAATGATTTTCTTTTTGAAGACGAAAATTTTAATAAAGATTTAGACGCCATGGTGTTGGAGTTGTCTAGTGAATCAGTTAAAAGTGCATTTTCTTGCGCAATTTGCACTAAAAAAGGCATACCTCAAAGAGACCTAACAAGGCATACAAATTCAAAACATCAAAGTATTGTGTGTATTACGAACATTTAAGCAATCAAAAAAATCATTAAAATATTTGCAGTTCCAGAAGTATCTGATGGTGCATAGATTTCTAATGCAGTACTACATGAATTACTTAAAACTTGTGCAGCTAAACGAACATTCATAGCTGAAAATGGACTTATTTTGATGTGCTCAACAGTTAGCTTTGGACATGAATGCAATTGACATTTCAAATCTTCATAAAACAAATCAGTTATATGAGACCATAAAATATGTTGACCCTGATTCCACATATAACGATTGCTTTTACCAGCTCCAGAATGATAAAGCCTGTTCCTTGCTGTTTTAATTAAATGAGGGACATCAGAAATAAAATAAATAAATCTTCTATCAGTATCATCAGCAACTAAACTTTCAGTGCGGTAGGTTCTATTTGATGATGCTCCATCACAAGTAACTGCAACTACTTTCTATTTGATAATGCTCCATCACAAGTAACGGCAACTACTTTCTATTTTATAATACTGCATCACAAGTAACTGCAACTACTTTTATGATGCTCCATCACAAGTAGGGTTGAAAATTTCGGAAAATTTCCGGAAATTTTCCGGGGAAATTTTAAGCAAATTTTCCCGGAAAATTTGCTTAAAATTTCCGGAAATTTTCCCGGAAAATTTGCTTAAAATTTCCGGAAATTTTTAATTTTTTTTTTTTTTAATTTTTAATCTACTACTATGTATTAAAGAAATTGCAAAGAATTAAGCATCAAATCTCTTAAAAATGAGATAACTGTCATTTTTTTTTTTGCTTAAATACATAAAACTAAAAACCACAAGACGTTTCGGAGAAAATTTAAATTTTATGTTTATTTAAAATTTCTAAGTCGTTTAAAATCTAATAAAAAAAGAAATTTATTAAAAACATGCTACCTCTATAGACACAACATCTTTTTTTATATATATACATCTTTCTTTAAGTATTTAATAGGGTTGAAACTTTTTTACAAAAGCTTATTAATACCTGTAATATATACACAAAAACTGCATAAAATTGAATGCTGACAAAACCGAGTTCATACTTACCGGAAAAAAGCAAATTAAAAACCGCACAATATCGAACAAATAAAACTTCACGATAAATTAAGTCATCTAGGCTTTATATGGAACACCTTTCCTAAAATCCGGGCAGTAATCGAAACTTTAATTCAATCTGGAATCCGTTTTGTTCACCCAAATTCCTTTGTCCAGTTATATAAAACTTTGGTTGTTCCACTACCTTATGGTCTAAGCTTTGTGAACATAAAAAAATATTAACGCAAAAGCTTGATATAGTTGGAAGAAACGCACTGAAGTCACTCCTTAACGTTTTAAAACATTGCATAAATTTTATTCATCCCTAATTTTTTATTGAGTATGTATTAATAATTACACAACAAAACAAGCTAAACTTATTTATTCACCTGAAGAGCAATAAAATGACATTTAATATTGTAAAGTAGCAGCTGAAAAACAAAACAGCTTCAGAACCTTTTTTAGGTAGTGTCAAAGGTTTGTGCAATAGTCATGAACTAAATCTAGAGAAAATAATGCAAAGTAAAAAAAAAATCATTGACTTAATAGATGTAATTCCTGAAACGGATCTTCAAACTCTAAAATGAGCAGTTGAGTTCTGGAACTCAAAGGAACAAAAAAACAATCTTCAAGGACATTCTTGAAAAAAAAAATTCCTAGATGATCATGTTTGAATGAAAATCTTGATTAAAAAAAAAAAAGACTCTAATATTTTTGATTTATTCTGAACTAAACTTTATTTTAGCTTACTTGTATAGTGGGTTTTTAACTAATAAATAAAAATAAAAATATAATTTTATATATATATTTTATTTAAACTCCCCAACTAGACTATTATAAAAAAATAGCATGTTTTTGCAAACGTTAATGCTCAGCCATTTTCATCGTATGTGAAAGTCAATACTATCTTCACTTGAATACTCACTATCGTATTCGTTATCATCATCGTAATCATCATCATCATCATTATCGATTGATAAGCAGCTGTGATTTTTTTGGCTTTTTTCATCAATGTTTTTTGTTTTTAAACATGAATGTTTTATCTTTTTAGAATTACGTTTAGCCAATTTATTCTGCATTTTCAAATTATAAGCAATAAATAAAAGCTTTGATGCTTTTGTATCGGTTAGGCGATTTCTTACTTTAGATTTTTGCAATGAAAACTCTTTGTTTGCACGCTCAACAGATGCAATGCTGCAGTTACAAGACAATAATATTAATGCAATTCTATTCAATAATGTTGTTGGTGCATATGCTTTCCACCATGTGACTGGATTACAATCTTCATTATGCTTCCAAATATAGCTGCGATTATCCTGGCTAAATATTCCACTACGAGCTTTGAAACTCATTAATTCATCTAATATTATATCAGTGGCTAGTGTTTCATTTTCAGCTGTTCTGAATACATGCTGCTCAGCTAAAAGCATTTCTGAATGATTTAACTTTTGAACAACAAATCTTGGATCAAGTAAATTTGCTGCAAAGTGTATCGGTCTTACAACAAAGTCTTCACGCTTTTTAATGCAAGTAATGATATCCTCTTTTTGATGTAAAGTCAAAAGTGTTGAGTTTTGCAACACATCACATATCTCAGTTATTACATAAAAAAAGACTTGTGGAACAATAGATACTGACGCTGCATCACTCTCTGATTCCAAAATGGCTTCTAAAATAGGTTTCAGAAGTTTGAAAATTAAATCCGTCTTTTTCCAAAAGGTTTCATTCAATACTAATTCCTTTAAGTCAATTCCTTTTTTATTATTATGTTTGTCAAGATACTTTTGTGCTTTTTCATCAGTTACTACCAGTCGCAATGAATCACGGAGTAGAATATTGCGTTGTAACATATAAAATTGTGATGACCACCTTGTTACTACAAGAAGAATTAAAATAAAACTTTTATTCAAGGAGTGTAGGCTACAACGCTCAACAATACTTTTTAGACTGTGCTTACTTTTAAAAAACTTAACTAGTTGTTTATTTTGCTTCAGTGTTTCCGAAATTATTTTTTTCTTATTTGCAAGATTACAAGCTAATAAATTTAGGCCATGAGAAAAACAGCCATATGCTGACATCCAATCATATTTATTTTCTATTAATTTCCAAACTGCTACCATTTTTTTTAAAAGTGACCATTCCAGACTTGTTGCTAAAAAAATTTTTACAGTACAAAAATAAATGAGAATAATTTAAAATGTATACTTAGTTTAGAAAAGCAGTTCATACCGACTGCAAATCTAATAAATAATTTATATTCAACACTTATTTATTATTATCATTATAGCTATAGTCCTAATATACCTATAAAGTATTTTTGTAATTTTTTTATTGTTATTATTTCAAAAAGAGTAAAAAACTTATTTTATTATATAACATATATAATGGCAAGTTATTTGTTGTTTCTCTTGTGTCACCTATTCTTTGGTTTAGGTTGACAGCTTTATGTAAATCATTAAAAAATGTCAAAAAGGAATGTTTGTGTAGCAATCATTTCAGATACTATAAAGTTATGCATCTATAATATTATAAAGTTTTAATACTACTTAAAATACTATAAAGTTATACACCAAAAAATTAATAATATTGCACTTTTACCAATTCATAATATTTTATAAAATAAATAAGTAAATAAGTTATTTACTTATCTATTTTATTTGAAAAAGCTGTAAGTATTTTAATTTATAATCATATTTTTATAATCATCATCATCATCATCATCATCATCATCATCATCATCATCATCATCATCACCATTGTTATAATAATTGTTGTTGTTGTAATTATTATTTTTACCATTATTACCATTAGAATTACTTTGAACTACTTATTAATATTATTAGTGAATACCTAGGTATTTATTTCTGAAATTTATTAG